AGACGTACCGAGTAGAAGAGAGAGAGAGAGAGAGAGAAAGTGTTATAGTATGAGAAAGTTTAATATAATGTATAGATACATAATTTTTTTTATCCCCCACCTCCGCTCCCCGCACTATCAGCCAGGTAAACATTCTCCTTTCCCTGATCGGTTTCTCAACTTCCACCTCTCCTCCTAACCTGTCTTGAACCACACCTCCCTGGCCCTCCACTCCACTTCCCCCACCCCCCATCCATGACTCCCACCCCTTTTGCCCCTTCCTCTCGACTCCTTACTCTTTCTGCAGCCTTTCTACCGCTCTTTTTGGATCTTACTCATTGCTGTCTTTCAGCTACACCCCTGATGTTAAGGTAGGTAAGATCTAACACCTAGCCTTCTCGGATAAGGTTGGAAAATCTCTGAGGTTCCGAGTGCAAGTTGTCGCGTTTAAGATCCCTTGGTGATCCAAAATCAATAAGAATTAGCTTCCGCTTCAACCCAAAGTTCAAAATTAATTCCATGCTAAAAAATGTTTCATGTGTCGCGAGTGCTCATGTGACCTTATATGCAGTTGCGAACACCTTAAAACACTTATCAAACAAAAAGAATGAAGTACCTGTCTCGTTTTGATCTAATACACACTCAACTTGTTGATAATCATAAAACAAGTATAATATGTAATACTTCTAGGGGTGTTTTGAGGCCCAAGCACCTCAGTACACTGATATACTTGTGTAATATTTTCCTTCGGTAATCTTCTATGCTCACTTGTCTTCCTTAGTCCCTTTCTTACCGCTGGGATACGTTAACTGGCTTTAAAAAGTCCTATGTGTGCACAGTAGGTCGTTGACATATTCACAGACAAAAGGGCTTATATTTCTACGTAGTCCTCGCTTTTCAGTTCGTATTATCGTGGACCAAAAACCTGTCAACCCAGATTGTTATCTTTTACGGTTCATTCTCAGGCTCAAGTTGTGTGAGATGTATGCATGGATCTCAAATAACTTAATCGGTACTGTCAGAGATGAATGTTAAGAGGTGCATCCCTCCACTTTATATCACCCTGTATTGAAAGAAATGTAAAACCCTGTCTTAACAAAACAAAATTCTATCCCAATAATTCTTATGGACTGCCAGCGTTTTCTAAATAGTCAACAGCGTGAAACCTCTTATCCTTGCACAGAGACGAGATTTCAATGTGCGAAAAGAGGTTTTGTCGACTGCTTTCGTTTGATCATTTTTTGGGAGTTTGTCCCTGCAGCTTGTGTTCATCCAGTAACTAGAGAGGCAGCGTCAGTACACACTCCTTCCTAAATGGACTATATTGTTTTGACAAAAGTGTAAAACGCATGCATTCATTTGCAATCCCATCGCGTCTCTTCATTTCAAGCAACCCTCTGTCCTGTGGGGCCTTACAGCGTCGTACTGTACTGTTTAAGGTGGTCTTGCTGTCAGTTACATTCAGTAAGACTCATAGTTCTGCCTTTTGGAAATAAAATACGTTATGGTTTGTTGCACATGGGGTTGGTTTCAGGCTATGTCAGTTACTATTTGGTTTTTGGGGTATGAAGTAACAAACGTAGTCAGTGCTGAGTAGCCTTATAATGTTTTAATTCCAACTGTGCTTTGGCTGTTCTCATTTGCTGTTATTGCGTGCCACAAATTAGGTACATTTATGCATGTACACAATGACTCATTCTTGCTCAAATTACACACACACACACACACACATACACACACACACACACACACATACACACACATACACACACACAAGCACACACACATACACAACCTCACAAATACGAACATACTCACAGAAACAAACACACAAACACACATACAC